TTGTCAGGGACACACATTTTCCTTTCGGACAGCCAGTGCTATTGGAAGGTACTGAAGGGCATAACGCTGGCGGGTAATGAGTGTATGTATATGTATGTGTTTCAGAGGGAAGTCGGGAGAGCAGTGCACCATATCACATGGTGGTGGCGCAACCTGTGACAATTGTCACTGCGCGAGCTCCTGACATTTTGACGGCGTCCCGTAAATTAATACTGTCAACAACCGAAACTTATTAATAACTTTTCAATTTAACCCTTCGTATCCTGATCACTGCACTATCGTAATAAAACTTTGGTAATATTCTCACTTGTAATGAAAGTACAAAATCAGTGTGCTTTAACGTCAGTTACAAAAATAATATGATTACTCTTAAAAATTCATAATTTGCTAGTTAACTATACTCAGCTGAGTTTAAATATGTCGACATAATTTTTTTAATTGTATTTAAAAGACCAATTTATAGCGTCGATGCGAAGCTGAGAAAAAATTAGTTTTACTATGATGTGTTTTTTTTGTCTGTTACCACTTTTTCTCAGCTCTCACCAAACCGATTTCTTTCAAAGATACGTCAAAATCGTATCTAGTCGAAGGCATTACCCTCAAAAATTGAAAACATTTCCTCGTTCCCCGTAAATGGGAAAAATCTTCAAAAATCGCTTATTTTCAACATTTTTTTCAATTTTTTTTTTGCTTAAAACTGCCATAACTTTTTCAAAAATGACCAAATCAATATAATTTTATTTTATAGATGCATGATGTCTTTACTTATCATTTGATATATTTTTTTTATAAATCTGACCCTTTACCTGCCCGGATGGGAGGATATAAAATGACAACTTTTTCACAAAAAATTAACTTTTGCAACTTAATTTTTGAAAGTGTTCCAGAAACTGACACTTTTATATATATCTTAAATTAAAGATAATGTAATATACTTTATTATGGAAAAAAAATTTCGCACTTTATTTTGACTTCACGGTAAAAATAGTTACCGAATGCTATTTTTGTGTGAAAATTCTCGATTTTATATTTAAAATTTTTAACTTAATAATGCTATAACTTATTGTAAAGTGTATGGAATATATATATTTATTTATTCATATATTACCATTATAAATCATTTGTAAATGAATACAATAAAATTGAATGTCTGATAAAATATTTCCACCCATTTTCTACTTTTAAAATCTCAGTATACGTATCTTTTTCTATTATACATTATTTTTTATTTACTTTGGAAAGTTACATTGAACTAACTACAACTAACTAACAAATAACTACTGTTCATCCAATTTTTTTCTATTCCAAAAAAACCATGCTTGAGTTAACATGTTTTGTGAGCTATCATTTTATTATTTCACACACGGACGTACGTTAACATATGGACTTGCGGTGAGAAATAAAACTGACCATAATATTATAACACATTACTGATCGTGGGGAGACAAAATCGCGTTCATGATCTATATAGCAAATGATTTTTACAGTTTACGTACTTGGTATCCTGGCAAAAATATTTTTACCGTGTGTTCACAGGCAGAACGATCACGTTTCGTATCTCTGACTGTATTATATTATTTATTATAGAAAGTGACCCTTTATGTTGCGGTTGGACGTCCATCAACCGTAACGGGCCAATCGACTGCTTCCAATAATATTATAACACTCTAGGCTCCGGTAAAAAATAATAATTTTCATATAATTATTTTTCCACTACTCGTCTAAACTTTTTTAATGTTGATATGATTGTAATAACGTCTTGAATTGCATACCACAATAAGCGTACAGAGGAAACGTTCAATAGCATCAAATAGGTTCAGATAAAAAACTAAGTTCTTGCTTTATTGAGAAGCATACACGTATACGCTATTTGCGCACGTGTAGTCTTTTAGGGATTTAACGATTTGATTTATAAAGTCCGTATTAAAATCAGCTTCTATCATTTTTTTTATATGTATTAATCATAATATACCATATACTATTACAAATACAAAAATTAAGTAATTCCATAAAATCGATGAATGAGCATGCAACCGTAGTTTTTACTAAAAAAGAAAACCGGTTTGTCATTCGAGCCATTCATTAAGTGACCAGTGCTCTTAATATAGCAACAATGACCTATATTATTGCGCAAGTCTGAATAGATCTTTGTCCGGACAAGTGATTTATTCAATCTTTTTCTCAAGTTCATAAACAAATAGTAAAATTAATACCTTCTCAGCTTCGCATCGAAGCTAAAATCGATTTGTCAGCCGTATCCGGTTCTCGGCGACGCTCCTCGAGTTTAATGTTATAATGTTAAATAATGATGTAACTGGACAACACGCCGGAAAGTTAACTGGATGTAAAAATATTATGCCGGTTAGTTCCAACATCAGAGTTACAATTATTTTTCTAAATTACCCCAATGCATTCTTAGGATTATTTTGATGAGAAATAAAATTACTCTAACCTAATTACGTAATTGGAGTAAGTTGTTAAGAGAACACCCATGCAGAGAATAAAACGGTTTGCGACATTTTAGAGGAGAAAAAAACCTATGATATATTGTTTTTAACGTAATAGATATTTTAATAAGAATTTTTATAATACTCTTATAAAAACTAATATTTGTGTAATAATACAAAAATTGTTAAAATACTCATTATTAAACAAATTAATTTATGTGTCCATATTAAATATCATTAATTACACTTTTAGAATGTCTTTAGTACTTGAAATATCTTCACAAAATATTAAACTTTTTTTTTTAAAAATCCATAATACATTCTTGGGAGTATACGTATATTTATAGAGAACAAAACAAGAGGTTTACTGTCAGTATTTATTGTATTTAATGAATTTCTTATTTATAAATTTATTCGAGGGAATTAACTTAAAAAATTTCCAACTGGCTAATTTAATTGGATCATATTGTTCACTGGATTTAATAAATATATATCTTATGACGTAAGTTAAAACCAATGAATCATCTTTAACATAATATACAACATGATTAGATTATTAAATCATAAATTTATAATACAATTATTATAAAATTTATAAATCTATTATCATTGGGGGGTGGGTATCCCTGTGGTACTCCCCACATTACAAAAATATTTACATGGTGTTGGAACCTTTTTTTCGTTTGCAAAATTGGTAGTGAATATATTCTTATGTATTTCCCCTAGTACGAATACCTAATTACGCCACTATTTTATTACCGAAATAATACAAATTATTGAAATATTTATTAAAGTATTGACTAATAATTATTAGTTAATGATTATTATCATCAAAAAAAGTTAAATTAAAAAATACCTTCTCAGCTTCGCTTCAAAGTTAAAAAAATTGGTGTTTTTTTATAGTTACCAATCCGAAATACTTATTTATGACCAACAAATGTATTATGGTGTATATGCGTAAATGAAATTAGTATTAATCAGTAATAATGACTTAATATTTATGCATAATAGTTTTTTAATTTTATTTTATGAATGAAAATTTACGTTTTTGACTTAATAGCCACTAACTAGTTATATTTTAGTAATAAGAAAAGACCATCATTATTAACGCATTTTTTATTTTTAATATCCATTTGACTACTAATTTGTGGTTTTCCGTTTTATTTTTAAAGAGAGTAGACAAGTATTTACACGTTAAACAATTGTAGACTAGTCTTTTATTTTTTTTCATTTGAGAATAAATTTTACGTGTTAGTTAACTATATATGAAATTTTGTGATGCTTCGTTTATCTGAAAAATTATTTGTAAAATATTAAAAAAATCTAATATTATGTGCTTTTGACAGTTAAATTAATAAATTGTCAAATCTCAATTGACTTTTATCATATTTTTAAAAATCATAATAAAAAAACTGTAACTTTACCAAGTCTAAAAATGCATTAACTAAGTGTAAGTAAAGTTTGAAACTGTTAAGTGGAAGTACTATTCATTCGAGTGAGTTATATCGCGTATACTATTGTTAACATTAATTACAGTCGATTTTTTTTTTTTTTTGAAAAGGACATTTACTTTCTCATAGTTCGCTTAAAAATAACATCAATTTTAGATATTTCATATAACATGCTGTATAGAATAAAAATATATATTAATTAATGTTGTAAGTGTACATTTGGCTTATACAATACCTACACACGCCATGTTCATAGGCCAGTATGTCGATTTTTCAACGAGTATGTAATATGATTAACGTTCATTCCTCATTCATGCTCGATTTTCGTCAGTTTTAGGTATAGGTATTCTATACACCATTATTATATATTAGTTTTTTATACTTATTTGTATTTACGTACTTTGCCTTAGCCCATCAAACAACAAAAACTCGTGTTTTGGTCCAACAGATTGTACTCGTACACACCACTAACGTGCCTGTTCGTTTCTTTTATTTCAGGTTTTCGCCCTAAGGTATTGTCTACTCACTTGGTATAATTTTTAAACGTACAACAAGTGTAGGCATGGCGATGACGACGTATTCGACACGTGAAATATCGCATGTCCTTAGCACAGTCGGCTATTAATCCACTGCCGAAAAAACATCTTCAACAATTGGGTTCAATAGCGTCGCGCGCCACAACATTATTACCTACGTGTGATTATTAATTTTTATAAAATATTCTCTTTTCTTCGCCTCCAAGTGTTGTATTACTTTGTTCATCTTGCGTTCGCATCATTCTAATTGATGACAAGGACTAATGAGCTATTATATTGTAATGTTCTCACCTGTACAACAGCGATGTTGAATCCGCTCAACAATGAACTGCTCGGCGAAAGAACAACTCTTTATTACAATGTATTATTTTTATTATCATTTAACAATTGTAATCACTACTTTTTATTTTTCAATTTTCACATCCCCAATTTTGGTCAAATCAGATAAATATTTAAAAGTCCATGGAAATTTCAAAACATAAATTTAATTATGATACCAACTATTTAATATATATATATATATTTAGAATTAAAAACTCGATTCTTTTTCTATTTTGTGTTTGCAGAGGATCATACGAATATGACAGTCAATGGTAATGAATCCAACACTTGGTGTGGATATTCTGCATCTTCATATTCACCGAATGCCGCACCATTAGCTAGTGGATATGCTGCATATCCTGACACTGCAAATGCAGCTGTTTTGCCAGAATCTGCGACAAATCACATGGAAACTCCGGTACCTAGTATGTTGATTAAAATTCAATTATATAAATAAACAAGAATATTAAATTTACCCGTATAGTTTTTTGCAATTAAAAAGTTAAATGTAGTCTGAACAAACTTTGAATTTAATATTTAAACAGAATAAAATGTTAACTCAGCAATAATTTTTTTACATTGTTGACACGTGTGTCAAAAATCTATTTCGCTGATCAGGATTAAGTATTTCTATTTTCAGTTTGAAATTCATATAAAAACTTTTACAATCATACATTAACTTATTTTAAACAAAATGAATAACTGTGAGTATGTGTACGCACAAGAATGTTTAGTATTATAGAATTTCTGCAGCTTATGTAACGAATATATTTTTGTAATCAAACCCGTATTTTACGAATCACAGTAAATCATTCATATAATTGGTTGTTTCCGTATCCAAACTCAGAAATTGAAATTACATTGTAATCACAGGGAACATAACCAGGGGGTAATGGGTGTCGGAGCCTAATAACAGTACTGCACGCGTATAGTGTGTACACAAAACACCCCTTATAATCTTAGAAGCGTCTTACCGTCTAGAAAAACGGATGGCAGTCTATACTTGCTGACATATTGAAGTTATTACAAGAGGCGGTTTACAATTTGTTCCGTCCTCGTATAAAAAAACAGAGGTATTATTATAAACTTAATAAATATTGTGGTCTTGTGAATGAAAGGAAGAATACAATAACGAGGCTTCGTGAATCATCATTTACAATTACATTATGCGTACGAGTGTAACATATGCTTTATGGATGTGTTATTCTAAAGTTCGAACTGATAAAAAGTAGAATCTGTAGGATTTTCAGATATTGTTTAAATAAAATCAATACTAGACTGCATTTTTTTAACATAATAATGAAACATAACTCTTTACTTCTAATCATTTTTATTATAATATAGGATTTATTCGTGCTTAAATGTTATCTTTCATTTAAAAAACCCAATATGCTCTCATAGTTTTTGATTGTTTCAAATTGCTAATTCAAGTTTTTAATTATAATGATTATAACTTATTGAATTAAAAACATTTTTAGTGTACGGGTCAGAAAATCAACATAGTCAGCCAATCGAATTTTGTTCTACCCATCCTCATCAGCACCAAGAATTGAAACCAATAAGTGGTGTCCACCAGGATATGGACTCTGCTGGATATTATTCGTCATGGTCGTCTTCCTCTGAAAACCACCATCCTGCTTATCATCATCATCATCACTATCCTCCTTATCAGTACAACGCTGCGATCCCTTCGGAACCTCCTCCCCCTACTATGGTTTTATACCCTCATTTGTATTCGACCGTCAACCAAAATCAAATACACCTACATCTACATCCACCAGCTGAGCATAAAGATGCTACAATCAACGGCGGTGTTGAACAGTATACTGACGATGTGACTGTTCTTGGTAATTCACCCCAGCTTACTATCAGTTCAAACAGACCCTCTGGTATCGAAATTGGGATACTTCCTCCTCCAACAGTACCAATTGATGATCAGAGTGATGTTATATCAATAGGAAGATACAATGATAGACAGCAAACTGATTTGACAGTTTGGAGGCCCTATTGAATATTTATAAATAAACGAATTCAGGCCACAGGGTATTAACATGTAGTGTAAACTCTAGCATATAAATAAATTTGTAAAATGTAGCATTCAAAAACTGAAAAAAATGTATGTGTAATGAACTATTTTATTTGGTCTCATTTCATTAAATCTCATTTTACAAACCAGATTTCTCATTGATTATAGATGTTATTTCTAATAACTTAAAAGTTATATATAGCATTATTCATACATGAAACATTGTGTAATGGAACCTGAAATCAAAATGTAATAGTATTAGTTTATTTCTGTAAATATGTAGAGAATATTTAAAAAAATATGTATTTAAATTGTGATATATATATATTAGGTTATTATTATAATTATGTACATGATTATAATGTAAATAAATAAAATATTTTCAATTATGAATGGTTTCTATGTTTCAAAATGATTCATATGTAGTTCAGAAATCTTAAATAAATGGTATTTTACATTTGTCCATAGGAGCAACTATACCAAAATTTCTGAGGTTGCCAAAAAAAGGTATGACTCACAGACCTTTGAGGTGACGGACCCCCCATTATTGTATTTCTAATATAGATATGTTAAATATAAACAAAAATTTAAGTAATTATAAAATGAAATGCAATCATTATTGTAATACGCATATAAATACATTTAGATGTTCATGATTATCAAGAAAAATACAACATTTTTCTAAAATTATAATTTTGAAAAAAATGAAATAAAAAAAAATTATAATCTTAATTACATCAATATTTGTACGACCAAACCAAAAAATGGGCTCAAATTTTGAGTTAAGGGTACTTAAGTCCCTCTAATATACCCATAGTTACGCCTATGCATACATCTATATTTAAGTTTTATTTAATAAATTTGATGTTTATAAAATAATTTGGAAGACATAATGAGCTAAGTTTGCGACAGAATATCTGCTAATGATTGATATACTATTGTTTTGATAAATTTTTGATGATTACAATCTTAGCAAAAATTTATAGTGTCCTTAAAAATGTTGTATAATGTTTTCATACAATTTAATACTACAAAGTCAAAAGTTACACTCAATTATTCTATAAGCAATATAAAATTATACGTTTAATTAGGGAAGACACTATAAGCTTTCTTTAGAAAGTAGACACTACATTTTCTATAATTTATCCTAAAAAGGTCATGAAGCATTTCTAAAAATGATTAGTTACACTTATGTAATATATAAGTCATTAACAATATCTCATAAATAGTTAAAGAGCTCTTCGGATTTAATATACATTTTCTTATTAACTAATATTAACCGCGAAATTGAATATTTTTTCAGTTAAAATGAACTAAGTGTTTTCTAATTTTTAAACAATTCCACTGTAAGTATATAACAAACAAATAAAACATGCTGTCCAATCATTCATAAGCATTGTAAAGTTCAACGAACCCGCTAAATGTATTAACTATTTCATTTTATAGCTTTTATAAGGTTTGTTAAAGTTTATCTTTTTGTATTGATTCGTTTTGCCCAATAATATGTACTATAAATGGAATAATACAGCTAGTATTGTTTAATTTTATTCAATAAAAAAAATTAAGCATCTTATTTTTTTTTATTAAAGATCTTCATTTTTGTTGCATAAAATACTAAAAATAAAATGATTGTGAAATGTTGTAGAGAAAGGTAGGACAATGAAAAATTATAAAGCTATTTTCAACAATTTCACTTGCAGGAAAAGCACATTAAAAGTATTTTCACTTTAATTATCTAGTTATTATTATTTAACTCTTGGAGGAAGTATACATGTATACACATATCAATATTAATATACACTTCTGAATGTAAGTAGGCACAACAATATTCTAACGTATATTACTGAATTACAATATACATTAGATCTTGGGTGGGACTGTCGGTTCATATTATACCCATGAACGATTTTCCAACGACATTTGATATTAGAGAGGAGCATCATACTCGTCCAGCAATCACACATTTGATATTACAAACAATAATACTAACATATTATTACTATAGTAATAATAATTTTAATTGTTTAATTATAAAACACTAACTATAATTCTATTTAAAATTTTTTGTGGCTAAATTGCACTTTACCTTTCCATGTGAATTTTCTTTTAATCGATTAATTTTTGTCCTCGATACAATCTACCAGAGTAATTTTTTGGAAATCTTCATATTATAAAAATACATAGATTCCTTTTCTTTCCAACAAAGAATTTAGGACTTTAGATTTACACGGTGACAGTGGCGTACACAGAAATTAAATTTGGGGGTATTTTTTGAAATTTAAAGAAAATTAGATATGACACTGCCCATATTGTTCACTCATAAAAATTTCTGTTTTCGATTACTTTATTGTGGAAATATTTATAATATGATATGATATTTTTTATTGTTTATCGTCCAGAATTGTCGCTTAACTTATAAATTTTTTTGGAGGGGTTTCAACCCCCAAAACCTCTCTTGCGTACGCCAGTGCATGGTGATTGTTCTTTTATAACATCGTATATGATCTTCATTGCATTCTAAATATCTGTAATTATCACTGATAAATTTTATTATTTTCACATACCATTTTATTATATTTAAAACACAAAATTGCCTAAAAATAGACTGCAATATTCAAACAAAATAAAAATTGAATTATTAGTTTTTATTGTTAATACTCAATAAACAGTTGTTCTTCAATTTTATAATTATTATGAAATAAAAACATTGAAACCCTCAATAATAAAGGTAATACAAGTGAGGGTAAATATTTTCAAGTTAAATACTGAAAACACGACAAATAGGAAGGAAACTTAATCGTATTGTCCATCATGTATTACTTTTGAACTTCACATATTTTTGATAACTCATTAATATTATAAAAAGACTGAATACTCTTGAAACTCAAAAGTAAAATTAATAAACCATTTTCTTAGAACACGTGCCGTTAAGTCAAGTAATGAACACGGCTTAACTTTCAATGAGCACTGACAAAAGGAATTAACCCCAATATTTTGGGTATGTCCGAACTTTTAATCGCCTCGTCTACTTTGACTTTCTTTATGCATACAAACATTCAGTTCACTTTAAATCTCCGTATAGCATTATCGTTTAATGTAAATCAACTTTTTTTTGTTTTACTATAAAAATATTTAAGTCAAAGATCCTCACTTTTTATAATCCGTCTGTAAACCTTCTAACAAAGAAATCAGTAAAACGTGGAATATTTTATATTTAACAATAATTTTTATAGTTTTTAACGTTGTCCAAAACTGTAAAAATAATTAAAAAAAAAAAATAACGCCAAATATTAGCTGCATCAAGTTATTTAATAAAAATAGAACGGGACACTCCGATTATATATACAAAGGTTTAATTTAATAATCCTTTTAATTTAGTACTATTATAATATCAGTATAATATTACAGTTCAATAAAAGAATTATTGATCATTCTAACAAAAATGATAGTGGTTTCCAAGAAAAAATGAAACTCTTGCTGTTTGAAAAACACTACAATGTTCAAGTTATTTTCTAAAAATAGTTAAATATAATTCTATTCTCAGAATACAATTACTGACTATAACATGAAATGTAACTAATAAATATAGTACTTATAATGTACATAAATAAATATTATCTAGTTTTGATTGTCCGTTAAACTTGTTAAAATAAACGACGTTCAATCCGAAGTACTTAAGATTATTTTCTAATGTTTCTTGAACATTGGTTAAAAATAACTCAAACGCCCTAGTTATGTTTTAATGCAACCAAACATAAACACGTCTACACACGACTGTGCTGTTGGCCCTGTTTCATTTAGTCAAGGCCGCACACGGCGCTCAGTGGGATACACAGACACACGATAAAGAGAGGGAAATACGTCGGATTAAGGACAGTTACTCTTTAGTGTAAGAAAAATAGGAAAACCTTAAGTGATTTTAATTATTTTTCTTTCAACAAATGGCACACGCGATTTTCGCCGACCGCAGTTGGACGTTGGTCGATTTACCGTCATGCGTGCGCTACTATAATTGTGGTGAAAATAATTTTTTTTTTTATGATTTTATGTTGTTGCAATTTTGAGTATTTTTCTATAATTTCTAATGAACATTGAAAACAGTCCTTAATAATGACCGATAAACCTCGGGTGGTGTCTGCTTGCATGAAACGAATTATTCGAGCTAATGGACGAACACAAAAACCTTTAATTTCAGGTAGCACTCAAAATATTGATCATTTATATTTTGTATACTAATATTTTAATAAACCTTCTAATAATTGTCTAAATATAAATAATTCATTAGTTTAATGTACAGTGTATATATTAATGTGTGTTATTTATTATATTTAATATTTTAAATTTGAATCATCACAGAATATATAAATGAAGTTATTTTATACAAATTGATTGAAAAATCATGGGTTCATATAATTTATGAGTTACTTAAGGGTGGTACATTATAGGCACCAATGGATGGATACTTAGCATCCCCAAAAATGTTGAAAAGTAATATTTATCGTTTTAAAAATGTGTAATTAAAATGTGAAAAATTACATTAACACCGCCAACATTTTTGATATTTGCGCTTAAAAGCTACATTTTTTTAATTTATAATTTTATTAGTTTATATTGAAGAGAAACAAGATAAATGTTAAGTTCATTTAAATCCCAGAAAATATTAAAAGACCCAGTTATACAACTGATTAAGTTGATAACTTACAAAAATAATGTGTGACATTTTATACTATTTATATGTTATTTGTAATACTAATTGGCTTGTTATAAATAAACTTCTGATCATATTTGTAACCTTAAACTAAAACTTGAGAATGTACTAACAATTGTAAGTAATAAATAATTTATTTTGCTAAAGTTTTACTAAATTGTTTTTTAAAATTATTGTAGGATATAACTTAGAATTTTAAAGTAGCTACATATAGATTTTGTTAAAATGAAGTTTTCAACTTAATTAAAAAGTCACTTTATTAAAGTTAATTAGAACATTTTTTTATTGTATTGACCTTAACACTCATTAGAAATGTTGAAAACTGTAGTACTAGTAATTAGAGCTAACGTTTCTATGAGAACTCTTGTACATTTAATTTATATTGAGATAAAATGTTTTGTTACTAACCTACCAATAATCAAATTGTCATCATGAAATAATTTTTAAGCTTTTAGCAAATTTTTAATTTAAAAATATGCATTAAAATTATTTTTAATAATAAGTGATGTTGGAGTATAAATTACTTGTTTATACTAATATATTTATTTTCAATGCAATTATTGCAATATTCATTATATTGATTGAACATTTTCACCTATATAAAATATATTTAGCTTATTAAAATTAACAATTATTTTGTTAATATAGTAAGAATTTTAGGGTCCACGAATACAATCAAAGCAGTAAAAAATCATTTATAAACATTTATTTCACTTTATTCGTGATATTTTTTGAAATTCATCTGAGACACCTAAATACATTTTTGTGGATATTTATTTATTTTGTGTCATGAACTTATGCAATAAATATAGTTTCATTAAAAAAATATAGTATTGTTTGAATTTTTACGAAAAAGAAGTCCACTATTTTATTCTGCTTATGGTTGAAATATAGAACTAAAAGATACTCATTATCAACAGCATCAGTGGTTCAGTGGTAGAATGCTCGCCTGCCACGCGGGCGGCCCGGGTTCGATTCCCGGCTGATGCATGAAGTTTTTTATTTTTGATAATAATATCTCTGGTAAACTGTTTTGTTGATTTTGTACTTTTTGTCTTTAATATTATACAGGTGATTTTTTTATCATAACCCACTCAATTACTTACAGAATATAAATAATTGAAAATTTTTTTTTTCAGTTATCTATAGTTACACATAATTCTTGAATTATTAACTCGGTAATATTTTTTAAGTTCATCCTTTATGCCTTGTTAGGATGTCAAATTTGTTTTTTAAATGGGAACACATATTTTGAATTTAATAAAATGTTTGAGTTTTTAATTTAATGGTAAATAGCGTTTGAATTTTTAATATAACTTTATTTGTTTATTAGATATAAACATTTAAAGTATTACACAGTAACCAAGCTGTCACAGAGACGGAGTGGTTATTGTCAAATTTGAATATCAATAGATATACTTTTTGTATTGCTAGTTAGTGTGTTTATAAACACACAACAATGTGCCTTACCATCATTGATAAGAAATGCTGTGTAACTGCAAATTTCGATATCATAAAAAACGAATTAGCTACCTTTATTTTTAATCCCTTGTGTATTATATATGTATATTAACTCAAAAATTTGATACTTTAAATGTTTATATCTAATAAACAAATAAAGTTATATTAAAAATTCAAACATTTTATTAAATTCAAAATATGTGTTCCCATTTAAAAAAACAAAGTTGACATTCTTACAAGGCATAAGGGATGAACTTAAAAAGTATTACATAGTTAATAATTCAAGAATAAAGTGTAATTAAAGATAATCGAAAAAAAAATGTTTCAATTATAATTAATCTCTAAGTAATAGAGTGGGTTATGATAAAAAAATCACTCTATATATGAACCAGAAGAATCTAGAATTCTTTTAAGTTGTGCTTATTATCAAAATTTCAATAAAAAGTAGTATATCCCTAAAAAATGTTTATATTTAGAATGCATTATTTAATTCAATCGACAGGGAATTGAATGTTTAATTTTAGTGTATGATAATTTCTAGGAGAACTAGAAATTAAGTTTCTATGGTTTGTTAAAAGTTGAGAGCAACATTTCATTACTATTAATTGTATTTTCGTAACAAAAACCATATGATAAACGTTTTAATAAGTCGGCTTTATTAGAGAGTTCCAGATGGAATATAATATATTTCATATATTATCTACAGCCTTTTTCATTTATGCTTCATTTAGGTAAATGTAGGAAGGGTTGGAAAAAAATACGCGTTGAATACATGAATAAAATGGAGAAAGTAAAAATATTTTTTTAAATGAGTTGTTCAACTAGCATAAGAAAATATCATGTAGTGAAATGACCAATTTTTTATATTTCAAGGTATACGAGTGATAGTTTTTAGAACACCATTTGATAGAATATCATTTAACGGATCTAGAGGGAGTGGAAGGTATAACAGCACCTCCCTAGAAACGAATTATTCATTTCAAAAAAAAATCTTTCATAAAAAATTCAATTAGGCTACTCTGTAAATATTGATTTTTTTTTCTTAGCATCCTGTAGAAAAATTCTAGATCTGCTTCTGATTCATATATAATATTAAAGAAAAATATAAAACCAACCAACAATTACTGGATAATATTGCTAAATAAAAATTTATGCATCAGCCGGGAATCGAACCCGGGCCGCCCGCGTGGCAGGCGAGCATTCTACCACTGAACCACTGATGCTCGTGTTGGATCTCAATAAATTCTGCTTATTTTGATAAAAAGAGTCTGGATGAAAATTAAGATTTCTAATGAAAAGTTTTTGTTACACTGATCAAGTTTGATTTATCAAATGGTAATGCATAATTCATTTAATAGTAGTATAACCAAAGCTAAAAACTTTATTATAAAATTTTGTTAGTATTATATTTTAGCAAAATTTTATAAACTTTATAAAGTAATATGTTTTAAAGGAAGGTATCTCAGCCCAATATCTTAAAATCAATTGTATTGGTAGTGGATGCGATCAGCGACAAATTATTGTACATAATATTGAAATGAACTTTGTGTTAACATGAAAAATTCCAAATATTTTACTTCGAAAATTCAGACTCGAGTATAAAATAAAATGTTATTTAAAAAATTGAAAAATTAATTTACGATATGCAATAAAAATGATAGATTACTTTTAGATAATATTTTTAAAAATTTTAAAACTTTCAATTAAAAACGAAAAAAATACATTACCAATACTGTTTGTGATTTTTTAAGCCACAAAAATACACCTAGTAAAAAACAAAAATAAAACATTCGACAGCTAAAATATTATCATTAGTCATATCAACACATATTTGTGACGTTTAAATTAAGTTTTATCTATTTGAACATAAAATATCCAATAGAATTTTTAAAATTTTTATATCACGTATTAGAGACATATATATAATAAGTCTATGCTGTGTATTGATTGAAAATACAAAACGTTTTTACTATAATATTATATAGTATCAATAAGATATTATATAATATCAATTAATAATAATATTTGCATTAAAACTACAGAATACTACACAAACAGCATTTTTTGAAATATTAAATTTTTAAAAAATTACACCTATAATTTGAAATTATTTTTAAAAATAAGAATTCATCTAATTAAATAAATAAATAAATTGTAGAACGATAATAGTGAATTATTATGTATGATTTAGGGTTTGTTTAGAAATTATAATGTGGGCACAAAACACTTTTTTTTAATTTTAGCTTTGATGAGATGCTGTTAAAAGGTATAACTTTCATTGGTTTTATCATGATGTGCGTTCTTTTTATGTCTGTCCATAAAAATTCTCAGCTCTCACTGTGGCGATTTTGATTTTGTTTATACATTGTGAAATTACAAAAACTTTTTTAAAAACTAACGAATCCTTATGAAATTTTAATAGAATATATTAATGACACTATGCTTTTTTTATATATACTTTTCATGTAAATTAATGAAAAACCTGAGTACAGTGAGAGTTTGAATGCCTACGCGTGTCAAATGTTTATTTTCATTTTAATTTGTAAACTTGTTTCGGAACAATCTTAATTCTTTATATATACACCAAATAATTTTTTTAAATATATTTAATGTTATTGAAAATAAATTATCCCCGCGACCGATAGTCTGTGTTCTTCAAACCTATTAAAGGTTTTTAAAAGTATTTTATGATAGAAAAAAGAAAAATGTCCTGACGATTTATAACTCATCATATTATCATTGCTTGATAATATATTAACATGGCTGAGTTAAAGGGAGGGGCACGTGCCCCTATCACCCCCTCAAAATCCACTGTTGTGTATTTGTAGTATTTAAATACCACCAGGTGGTATTTAAAATGCTATAACTTTAGAAAAATGTATAAAATAAAACTAATTTTTTTTATGTATACCCTTAGATACGATGCTTTAATTAAAAGTATATTTATGTACTTGGAACAAGTACCTATATAAAAATTAAATATAACGAATATATCAAGAAATATTTAATATATTGTTGACTGTTCAACTTTTTTAACTAGTTATTGAAACATATTTCAGTAGGGCTGGTTGGGGCTATAACTCCGTTAATACTACTTTAGAAATCGTCTGTAAAGATATAATGATAGTGATACAAATTTGACTGGCTGCTTCTTAAAACCTATATTATATATACTCTTTTGACATTCTTATTGAATTATAAATTCTATTCATAAAAATAAACACGAATTATTCCTATATAATAATAATTACCAATAACGTTCTTTTCTGGCATGTAGGTCATACATTGTTTCAAATCATAACTGAGTGTAAAACAATTATTGCTTATAGATACCATAATGTACGAGTAGTAGGATAAATAATTAATAATAATACGCGACATAAACTCTACTCGTATTAAATATAACAACATGTGAATGATAAATATGTATATTAAATTTACATCTATATGCACTGGAGAGACCAAGGATAGTTACCCATGATACGGTACATACACAGTTAGGTCAATATAGTACAACGTGTTTAGTCGTTTTGAAGAGTTTTTAGACGACTGAGTGTACTTAATTATCTTATTCTGAATAGATCTCGCTAAGGACTTAAACATGCAGCTATACAATTTGTTTGATGTAAATGTGTGAAGGTATTTATGGAGTTCATGACAATTGTTGAGTACTGTGAGCATGAAATTGCATGTCGTCTAAACGCGAGGCCGACTAACCTTATTGAGCATCTGAAGGACCTTACTTAATAGGTGACAAAATATTTTATTTAAAAACAATACAAACACTAATACATTGAGCCCTCCTGCATATCTTTAGAAAAAAATCGAGATGTAATATTATGAAATTTATACCTGTTTTTAAAGAACGCTGATATTGTTTATTTGGCATAAATTTACTTGTGAGTATTATTTATGAAATATGTGGTATCAAATGAGAGTGGCTGTTTTAATACATGGCATACCATGTATTAAAACACCCCAATGAGTGAGTGGCAGTAGCGACATACTCCCTCTAAAACATTTGTGTTGTAAAGAAATTAATGCTTTTCTAAAAAGAAATGTTTTTTAGACCTTTCTTTAAAATTACCTTAAAATATAATTTAATTAAAAGCTATGAGCAATAATAACTGTAAACAAGAAAAAAATGTATGTTATCCCTTTTGAAATTACCTTAAGGACGCCCTTAATATGTATTCACAAATAACTTTTACGACATCCCCTCACTGTTTCTTTTGTCTAGATAATATTAATGAAAAAATAATTTTAGAAATGAATCAATTAATTTATTGTACACAAAAATCAAGGGCTTAATACTATTTAATAATTAAATATAAAATATTATGCCTTAACAATTTTACTGTTGAAATGGAGTCAACAATTTTTCTTGACAATCAAAATATATTATTTTTTAGAGGGTATAAATTTTAAAATTTGAAGTGTAACTTAGTATTATTAGAATATTTATTTGAAGTGTTTTTACAAACTAAAATTTAAGGAGTAATGTTGGTAAAAATAAAGAATAATTATTGACAGTCACTTTATTTTTTTTTAAAGAATACGTTTGTTTGATTCCGTAAAGCATAAAATTTCTCTACTTAAAATGCTTATTACATGAAAGCTATGATACTATCTCGTGTCATTAATTTTGTAGTTTGTGCAACTAGTAATATCTTATTGAAACATAAATACAACACTAATTGATGTTACTGTTATTTTGTGATAGTACATTTAATTAAATTATTACATAACTTTTAGGAATAATTACAACGAGCTTCTGCTAAATACAATAAGATATAATTATAAAAATTTGAAATAAAGTGGCTATGTTAAAACATTAACTGTTTGAATCCATTATTAATAATTTAAAGACTACATTTAATTGATGTGATGTACTAATCAAAAACAATTATATTTTAATTCAATTTTTGAACATATAATTTTTTTGTCGTATGTGGGTCCAAACTGTTTGGACCATAAACTAGTTTAAATACTGTTTGGTTTTTTCAAGTATCTATTTTTAAATGATGATTATGTTCAAAAATAGATATTCAAATGATCAAAAACATGAAAACAAATAATTGCCTCTATAGTTCGCCACTGGTCTATCTGGATATATCATTGATATTTGTTTGATTTTATTATTATTTTTTAATTGGTGGAATAATTTACTATTATTAAAGTTATTTAAATAACTCTAAAATAGTAGTGAGTTATTACTATTCCATTAATGTAGTATTATTAATAGTTAATAGTACGACCAACAATCATTAGTGAATGTATATTGATATAACTCATAAGAGTTCAATTCGTAATTCGCTTATTTTTTGTGTAGTTAGTTAAAAGAATAACTAAAATATCTCGTGGTCTAATTTACACGGTATTATTTCTATTAGATGTAATTGGAATCATGAAGAATCCTACTTTTCTTATTTCTTAATTAACATCTATGTTATTTGTATGAATTTATAAGTTAATCACTGCACTGTGACGATGTATAGCAATATGTGTTATGTACATAAAACTTTTCAGTATTTAGTGCAGCAGATTCATGTGCTCACATTGTGCAGTCGTTTGGAAAATGCCATAATAATAATACATTAATTGTAAGTTTTAATGTCAAGGACTAGAATGTTATCTTTAGATATTCAATATTATAGTAGTAATATTATTTACATTATTTACTGGTATTTATACTTATTTATAAAATTGTTTAATGAATATTGTCTAAAAGAAATACTAAGAATCCAACTATTAAAAGGATAATAGGAAATTGTTATAGTTCGCATATTAAATATGATAGTCTTACCATAAAAAAAAAAAAATAGAATACTTACTTAAAAAGTGTATTTATTTGTGATTATTAATAGGAAATAAATTATTAATTGATATGTTGATGGCCGTGAAATATAAATCGTACAAGATCAGAATTCTGAAGTACTTATTTTACTCTTAATGGATATAATCGACATATTCGCATTCAGCATAAAACACAAACCATATTGGGGCATGGGTCAACTAAGAACTTTTGACTCTAAAATATGATCATATCGTTTTTAGATATTTTAACATGTTAACCGCAATGACGGTTAAGGGTCACTGCTCGATTTAAATTTTGGATTTTTATGACCACCCGAGACCATATTTGATGATTCTCTGCATGCCTATGACCCACCGGCGACCAACATCACATATTATTTTTTTTATAATACATTTAAGTATAACCGTCGGCTGTCAACTTCTTTAAGTAAATTTGTATTTATTAATAAGTTTATTTAGCAATTAAAAATTAGTACAAGTATGTAAATATTAAACAAAATTACTTAGTTATTATTCACGGTAAAAATGGATTTTTTTGTTAAAAGTTCTTAAATGGCGATGATACAATTTGTTATGTTTCTACTTTCTGATTTCATTCAAGGTATGGCCTTACCATTATATCAACTGGTGTCTAATTCAAATTTAATTAGATTCGATTATAGCGTTCAGTCATCGATGAAATCCTAAAAGACATACCAAATGTGCGATAATTAACTTCACGGATGTCAAACGAAACTATTTAAATGAATTCATAATGTGGCATAATATTATTGTTCAAGGACTGAACATTTCTGGATATAATTAGATAAGAAAGATAAAAAAAAAATAATCAAAATTTGTTTGAATAGTAAAAATATTTTGGATTTGTAAAGTTGTATAAATGGTGTTTATACAAGAGCGCGTATATCTAAATTTTATTTGTGTAATCTTTATTAGTTTACCATATTAATAATTTATTGATATAAGTACGTGATCTTAAAAAAAGTGTTCTTAAATATCTTGTTATTTTTGTATATATTTATTTTATTGTAAAATATAAATCACATGCCATTATTATTTAATTTATTAATATATTAATAATTCGTATCCATAAAAATTGTTACAGGATCATTAACGGCTACGTTAGGAGACGATTTAGCTTACAAAAGTGGCTCTTTTGACGGACGTTGCATTGCTGAAGTACGAGGGGGGCATTTGTTGATACGATGGAACGGTCCAGCCGGATATTGCTGGAAGCTTCTTTTAAGACATTTAAATATTACGCCTTGCGAACATGATAATTACGGTTTTCAACTAATTAGGCCCGATACCAAAACTCCTATTGTTTCAATTATAGTAAGTCTTTAATGTATCAATATCAAAAACTCTAGAAATATAAAATTATGTATTTTGTCGATTTTCCATAAAAATAAATTATATCTATTTACCAAAAAAAAAATTTAGTCTGATTATGATTTACGATTGTAAAGCTCTTTTTATTTTATGAGAAAGGTAAACCTTTCTTGTGTTGTGTATGAAAAAAACCTATAGTAAACAATTTTGTTGATTACGCTTACAATTAACGGCGTTATTTGTAAATGTGGGCACTTTCGGGACCTGCTTTATTCTAGTTAGCTTATTTTAAATTGCCACACGCTTTATCATTATGTTTACCTTTATCATTCGCTCTGAGCGATTTGGACTTATTGGGTCGCTAAACCTTACAAATCAACAGGACTATATAGGTTGGATTTGGACTAGACTTCTCTCTTCTGGGGGTTTAGGGGGGTTAACTTCCATTCCACTCCTGAAAGAACTAGAATCGGCTACTGGAAGAACCGACAGGTGTATGTGATCTCAAAACTAACTTTTTTACTAGAAAAAAGAAGAAAGGATTTTTTAAATGATAAAATTGGTAAATAATTAATTTTTATATTTTTAAATATTTTACGCCCTCTTGTAATAATTTTGGATTCATCATGGTCCGTATTAAATATGAAATTAAGAGAGGGGCAAACCACGTGAGTCCATCTAAAATTTTACTTGCATAACTATCAGAAAATAAGGTTATATATATATATATATTTTATAAACATTTAATGATTTGAGCTAAGATGTTAGTTATAGGATCCCCCTCATGAAATTATAACCTTCTTAAGTTAATTATTTTTGAAATGGATACATAGATCCACACAATAAAAAAACATATTATTTTATGTCAATAAATCTAATGTTCTAAAATATCTAATATATCTAATGTTTAATCCTCCAAAATTTGTTATATTGTCGCCACCTGATAAAGTATGTTTTTAATTAAACATTTATTTAAAAAATGATAAATATTTTTTTAATATACAATATCTTTCTAAATATAATTTTACTTTTAATATTTAATCTTAGTTATATACAATTTAATTTCATGGTTTTAATATGAGCATCAGTGGTTCAGTGGTAGAATGCTCGCCTGCCACGCGGGCGGCCCGGGTTCGATTCCCGGCTGATGCATAAAATTTTTTGTCGAATTCAGGGTTTTGGTATAACATTTATAAATATAATATGTTATATTATTATCACATCTAGATTAAGGTCTAGATACCGACATTTAATTAAGATCTAATGTAATTTTTCGATGATGATTTTTTCTAAGTTGTTATAAGTAGATTTTGTAATTTATTTCTAAAAGCACAGGTGCAAAAAAAAGATTTATAACTATATTTTCATAAAACTACCACAAAAAAGATGTTGAGTGCCAAAAAAAGAAATGGTTAGTTATTATGTTAATACCTACATGGTGGAAAAGTACAACAGGTAAATTTCTAGTTAAAAATAACAGCACCCACAGTATACCTTCAGTCACTATAAATTGTTAATATCTTTCAAAATACTGGTATTAAAGTTGTTATTGACTAGTCATTTTCTTAATTAAATCATTATCTAATAGATAAGCTTGTTAATTTTATTTGTGTCCATTCGATTAATTAAAGTGAACACCCTTAAAAAGTATAAGGGATTAACATAAAAAGTAGTTCATGATTGAAAGAAATATTGAACCAAAAGATACCAAAAAAAAAAAAAGTCATAAATATTTTTCTTATTTTTGATTAATTAAGTGGTTCATGATAAGTGAATTATTGTATAACCACAGATACGGTTTATCTTATCTGTGGTATAACTGTGAGCATAAACCAGTAGTGCAACTTTAAAATAATATCAAAGCCGATTTCATAAAAAAGTTCCTCCTAACATGTTAAATATAATCTCATGGTATTTTATGATAACTAAATTTTTGATTTATCGAAAGTAGAACTGTTCTTGTAATAACTAAAGAAGCCTACAGGCCTCAAATCATCAAAAAAATCAAATAAGAATCCTAATTCGATTTATTCCGTAAAATAGAGATACTATGGATCAAAAAAAAAAGTGTCTGGAATAACAAAATAGGTTTTAATACTACATACTCATTCACAAAAATTAAAATTTCGGTAAAATAGTATGATAAGATTTATCATACTACTTTTTAAGTTATTATTTAAAAAAATGCATTTCAGACTTTAATAAAGGGTAACTACCACATTTTAGCTTACAACTAATATATAACCATAAAAGCATTAAAATTATTTTTACCATAATTAGAGATATTGTTTTTTTGCAAGACACAATATGCCTCTGACATTTAAGGTATACATGGGCGAACAAAAATTATTTTGCCCTTCCTTAATATTTCAATATTTTTTGATCAACAAATAATTTTCCTCGGTATCGCTAAAAGTAAAAAAAAAGGTCTTTAAACAATTTTTTTTTTATTGTTTAAAAATTCTGACATTGCTTATAATTGTGGAAGGGGGTAATAACTCCTAAATGCCCCTCGACTGGTGCGCTAATGTGTATAGAATAGGATAGTCCACGATGTTTTAATAAAACTAATTAATTTTGATCTACTAAGTAGTTTATTTATAAAAAATTAATACATTGTTAGATTACTTTAAAATCATAGTTTTAATTATTTGTTTTTAATAATAAAAAAATTAAATTTTTTAAAAGTTTAAGATAGCTATTTTAACACGCTTATATTAGTTTCACCTGTATGTTTGTAACTCTCCACGCGCCACGTGTTATTATTCTCGCATATCCCGTCGTGTATGGGCTTGAGACTAGACTATTCACTCCACCCAGCTCACCCCGCCGTCAAACACTATTCTGTATAATTTTATTTTTGATTTTCGTACCCGTACATGCGTACGTATTGTCAATATTATATATATTTAAACAAATTTTTATTGTTTATTATTAGATAAAAACATTTAAAGATTCAATTTTTTTTTTAAGTTAATATACATGTATAGTATATAAGGGAATATAAATACAGGTAACTAATTGGTTTTCTATGACGATATTTGCAGGTATATAGCCTTTATCATCAATGGTCATAAGACACATTGTTGGAAGTTTTTAAACATACTACTGGAAATACAGAAATTATATCTATTGATAGTCATAATTTACAATAAACACTCTGTGACTGTGACAGCGATATCATAAAAACTAAAAAGTAAAAAATAAATATAGTTTAAAAAAACTGAAAAACACGATTTTAAAGCATATCGAATTAAAAGCGTGTTTTTCAGTTTTTTTTAACTATATTTTTTTTACAATTGATGTCCCATAACTAAAAGTCTGCGCACATCATTTAAGTAACTTGAGTGATGACTTAATTGTAATAACATTTACCATTCTATTTACTACCGCACTCGCATACATATACTAATTTTACATAATTGGCGGTATGTATGCAAAATCATGATATATTATTACAATTAAATAATAAAAAAAAACATGAGATTAAAACAGATTACTTTTTTTCTGTTATATTGAAGCAAAAATATTCATTAAAATAAATCTAAAAAAAAAAATTTCCCATTTCCATAGGTATTGAAAATTTCCACCCACGCCAAATGCTTCTTTTGAACCCCCTTAATGCGTTAAAGGATATAACAATATTAAACATTAAACTAAGACGTTATATACTCCTTCTGTAGTGACATAGCCATATAAGTGGCTACAATGGACAGATTCTCCAGGATTCAACAAAAAGGGGGCCCCACAGACTTATACAATAGTCATAGTCAAAGAATTCTATAAATTTCTGTAAAAAAAGTATACAATGTTATTAACTATTAATGTTCTTGCGTTATGTATATTCTAATATTTTTAATAAATGAAATAACTAGAATTTCATAATTGGTATTATCAGTAAAAAAATCAATAAAATTCCATATTTTGTACTATTTTGTAGATAATATGATAATAATATTAAATTTAATGTTTTGGTATACTACTGTGTCGAATAGTGTTTGCAATCTTAGATATATTAACATTATTGTATAAAATTATATTAATAAAATAATTTTAACTTATATTTTTAAAATTAAGAATTATTTTGTTACTTCATTTAAATGTTATAACTTTATTAATATGTTACATGAATCCGGTATGGTCTAGTGGCTAGGATACCTGGCTTTCACCCAGGAGGCTCGGGTTCGATTCCCGGTACCGGAATAACTTTTTGTTTTTTGCCACTAATTTATACTTGAACATTATAAGATATTTTAATTTTTCATGTAAATTTTCGTGTTAGTTATAAATTTAAAAGGCGATTACAAGAAATTTGAAACGGAAAATTTCTATTTTCAAAATGTAATAATGAATTTAAATTTTTGTTAATTATAAATATTTTTACATTATTAACATTTCCAGAGATCAAATATTTATTAACATAATGAGTGTGACATTTAAATTTATAAAGAATTTTAAAAGTTGAAAAACTTCATAACAAATAGTTTACTAAAACAAATATTATATAGTGGGATAGAACTTCTTAGAGACGATCCTAAAAATGTTATCTCTAATGGAATATGAACGCGTATAAAAAAACTTATTATTATTGTATAGATAACAATTTTGATATCAAAAATTGTTATTTTTAAGTAAATTCCATAAATCAATCGAGTAAAAAAATTTACGGTATCATTTTAGAATTCAACATTTATGACTTGTTATGCCCTTATCAAGCCCGGGTCAAAAAATTATAAGGCTTAGAGTCCAAAATTAAAGGAGGCCCCCCTGTATCTTAAGTGTCATAATACCTATTTTCGGTTTCCCTTACAATACGCTGATTTTACTCTATACTGAAAACTAATCATAAGGCCAGCGAAAATGTGTTATAACCTCTCTTAATCAATGATTGGCTCTTATATCTGTGCACCGTCTACATTGGTTATTTTTCATTTTACAGAGTCCTTATTGAAATCTTAACAAATTACTTTTTTTCTTAAATAGGAATTGTAATTAGATAAATAAGTAAATTAACGCGACAGTCGAATTTTGAAAATTAATAGGATAATTAAGGAGTGAAATAATTTGAGTGAATGATGAAATTTCGAAATTAGTTTTTTGACTTCTTGGAAAGGAACGATTTTTTATGGAAGTAGTATCCTTTTTGTAATATTTCGGCCACCACGATTTAAAGTTTATCATTAGTTTATTTCAACTACGTGAAATTTATCTGATTTTATCTGACAAATATACTTAGTAAACTAGTGTGGTGTATAAATTGGATTTTTTTAAACGCTTTATTAATCTGACACATGGAAAGAATAAATGACCTCATGTATAGGGAAATTTTGAATAAATTTTTTAAATCGTCCAATATCGGATAAAGCCAATAACAAATGAACAAATTTCATCAGGTCTTTTTTAACTTGTTCTACACGATATTGAAAAATTATTTATTTTCCTTTTTTAATTTCATGAATACAGAAAACTGTTAATGACAATTGCCTCCAATAAAATACTTCCTGAATGTAAATTTTAGGAAATCTTAAATTTTACGTATAATCAAAACATTAAGCAACAATATTACTTTGATTTTTTACTTTACTTTAACTTTAAATTGATTATTAACTCATCTCCTGTAACTTTTTCGTGGAATTGTTTAAACAAGGATATACTTTTTAATTTAAATTCTCACATGTGCAACATATTTTACCCGAAGACGTCCAAATCTCAATTTAAAATTGTCTTTAAAAAACTTGAACTTGAAACATAACTAATTCAGTATTTAGTTTTAAATAAATTTGATGTTGTTTTAATACTTTTTTGTTCATTCAAGTATTTCACTTCTTTACCAGAATAATGATATATGATTCAACATAAAAACTCTAGTTTTCCTAAATAACCTATTACTAGCACTATGTTAACCTCTTCGATCTTTTACCATGTATTATTAAATTTCGTAATTTTTTATTCTATTCATAGACACAGAATATTATGATAAAAATGTCTTAAAATATACATTTTTGGTAACAATGATTAATGTAAAATAATTATTACAACACTTAGATATCCAATAACAGCTAATATTATTTTTGATAATAACATTAGTTTTATGATAAACAGGCTTAAGTCTGTGACTAAAGCTTTTTATACAAAAATTTTATATTTAAGATACTTGTTTATAATGGATTCTAGTAATAGGACTGAAGCCGTTTTAACATGAATCGACGCGTTTAAGTGATAAAGAATTTGTAATAATTACGTTTTTGATCAAATGTTTACCTAGGCCCTTTTTGTATGAAGCGATTCATGTATTTTATTGGCTGCCTTTAGCTCTTTTAGTGGCCCATGTAAAAATTATTCTAATAATTAAATGTTTTCTTTTTTTGAAGCTTTATAATATTTTGGGAGATAAAAAAAAATATATTCTTAAATTCTAGTTAATTTATTCAAAGCTGATAACAAGAAAACTTGAATTATATTATATTATATTGTTATTTAGAGTTTTTACTGTAGTAATTAGTTTAAACTAGACATATTTAAAATGATATTGAAATTATTATACATTTTTAATTTTCATCTTTACTATGGTAAACTTTAGGTAGTTTATTAACTAATTATAAAATTAAATAATTAAGTATATGTTTTGTTTTTATTTAGACAGATAATGAAACTGATTATCATCATTGGACAACTACAATAGCTGGACAATTATTAAGTCAAACACCATTAGAAAATATCAAATATTTAGATATATTGGGTATAGTTAAAGATGAACCACCATATCGTAGACATTCATCTATTGATGCACCAACAAGAATTTTATCAAAACAAAAAAAAACTAGTTTAGATATGCAAGAAGTAAATAACAATAGTATACTGCCACTATTTAGCTCACGTATGTTTAAAAAAAATGTGTCCAATCTACCAGACTTGATAAGGGAATGTGAAAGATCTCGTGGTTCTCATTTGGATGAGTTCTATAATTATGTTCCAGTAAAACAAAAACGTATGATGTTTGAAAGTTCTCTTAGGTGTACATCTCAAAGTGTAAATGATTTGCACTATATACCTATTAGTCACCATAATAATACAAAGTCTAAATCACTTAATAACCTAAATCAGAGTTCAGTACCTGTGAAAGATATATGTAGATATTTTGAGAGTAAATTTAATGTTAATGAGAAAAGTTCAATGCAGTTTAGATCACTACATTAGATATCGTGATTTATAATGTGATTTTGAAAAAAAAGAAATGAAGTGTAATTTAAGTCATTAAAGAAAATTGTTCCAAAGATTATAGAATAATACAGTATTATTTTGTTAAATGTATAATCTTTAGTCATAATAAATAAATTAGATGTAAAATAAATGAAATTTTTTTTTCACCTTTAAAAATATAACTAAAAATAAAAATATAATATGAACTTTGTTAATGCTATTATAACAATGTTATACTATACTAAATAATATTAATACTTGTCAAAAACAAATATTTAATCAACTTTTCTACAAATGCAACAATAATTATTCATATTCATAAAAAAAAAATCAATGCAAAGAAATAATTGTTCCCAACAATTAACTTAAACATAAAAAATTACAAATGTGGGTAATAGTTTTGTACATTAACTTATCACACTTTATAAACTATTCTATTATTCTGTAAACCTTATATTTCACCAAAATTATATACTAAATTGTTAAAAAGATAAAACTAAGTCAGTACAAAATTAAAACTGATTTGGTAAATTATAACCTTACAATACCATCAGGAGGTATGTACCTTAAACATTTACTTAAAACGACAAGAATTATTCCACATCCACAAAGTTCATTTAAGAATCAATGTTGTTATTATACACTATGGTGATAAACAAGAATTTAAGGCAGGCTTTGTAGACTTATTTTGAACACCCTGATAATCTAATAATAAATAAAAGATAAAATAATTAACACGATTATAGTTAAATAGAAAGATTAAAAATTATATTTACCCAAAAACTAATAAATATTGTTTTTTGATGAAGTGTCTAATGAGTCGTCATAGCTAGAATGTGCCAGATCAGAGAGTTCTTCAAAATGTTTTTGCCTCTTACGGACATTCCAATGTAAGCACTCAGCTAGTGAATCAAACCAATCGGAAATTTGATCTTGAGCACAAATAGATGGTACAGGATAAATTGATGTAGTAACTCTTAAGCTGAAAAAAAAAGGATAATATGTATACATAATTTTCATATGAAAACAATAAAATAAATAATAAATTGTCAATTAATCAAAATAAAAATATCAGTACACATGGTTAAATAGTCAATTGTTAAAAGAAAAGAAAATTTTTATTAATAAAATTAAACATTATTAATTAGATTAGTTTTATAATATTTATGACAATTATCCTTCACCAAAATATTAATACAATGTATAAACCGACCTATCATCTGCACATAACTCTTGTTGGTTCCTACCATCAAATGAAACCCAAGCAGTTGATCGGGCATCTGGGCTCAACATAATCTGTAACAAGCATTTATGCTTACTATTTCAATAATTTTTAAAAATTAATTAACAATATTAATACAAGTTTATTTTTTCATTTTAATAAAATAATTTTTTATCAGCAGAGAAATTTTTCTTTTACATAAAATATAATAGACTAAGAGTAACCATGTGTACCTAAATATAATTCAAAGCATTTTCCACACACAAAACAATACAAAATTTAGAAATTAGAAAAAAATTCACGACCATACTATATACACTGTATTCTGTATCATCCTTTTACCTATCACCATGATAAATTTCTTGTCGATTACGACCATCAAATGATACCCAAACTGTATTACGGCTATTAGGCGATACCATTATCTATATGAATAAAAATTTATTACCTTACTCTGCTGATTATCAGTAACAAAGAACCAGTTTAGTTTTTAGTTTGGTTAGAGTTTTTTGTGTGATACAACTAATGGAGAAGTATTGGGAAAAGAAGAATAAGCTATGTATAGTATTTATAGATTTGGAAAAAATGTATGATAGAGTACCGAGAGAAATTTCAAAGTGGGTATTAATGAGAAATGGGTGGGTGGGTGAAGTGGAGAGAAGCATTTGGTGTGTTATGCAATAAGAGAATTTCAATGAGACTGAAAGGTAAGTTCTATAAGACTGTAGTGACACTAGTTATGATGAATGATTTAGAGTGTTGGGCGATTGACAAGAAAGTAGAGCAGAGATGAGAATGCTTAGATAAATGAGTGGAGTGACTAGAGAAAATAGGATAAGGAACGATGATATAAGAGGGAGTATAGGTATAGCGTTAATTGTAGATAAGATAAGAGAAAATTAACTTAGATAGTTTGGTTATATTATAAGAGGAGAGGAATTGGATGTTGTAAGAACAGTTATAGAAATGAATGTAGAAGGAAGGAGAGGTAGAGGAAGACCAAAAACGAGATGGAGGGATATAAGGATGGCTGATGTGCGCTGATGTGAGATGATGTGGGAGATTGTGTCAAGTAGAAGTTTAGGAAAAAGGTGGCCGACTAAAAGTTGTTGGGATAAAGTTATGGAAAATGAAGACTTAACACTTTGCTGACTATAAAATATATAATTTCCATATAACAATATATAACCATTAAAAATATTCACTTTAAAGTTTAAATATCAAATACATATAAATAATAATTTTAATTTACCTTGAGCTCAACACCAGCAGGTACAACAATTGGTCTAAATGATAATGAGTGAGGACAAATAGGGGTTACCATAATGGCTGGGACACTCGGGTGGATCATAGATGCTCCAGCTGCCACAGCATAAGCTGTGCTTCCAGTGGGTGTTGATACAATTAAACCTGTAAATTAAATACTGACATAAACATAATAGAAAATGAAACATTCTTATAGAGCCATTTGAATATTAAATTATTTTCACTTTATTTTTTTAAAATAAGTATAAATATTTCAAATAATGTTTTATTTATTTAGAGATTATTCTAAAATTTTTATTAATAATATTTGAAATATTTGCTATACTAACAACATACTTTTTTTGAAAATTCAATAATCATCTTAAATTAAATTTGGGATTGTCTTTGTTTATAATTGTTGAGCTAAATATTATTTTAATAAAGGTTTTAAATAAAATCAAATTTAAGGTTTTTTTGTGTATTATATACTCGAAAAAATATAATTGATTTGATAATAGAAGACAATTCTGATGATTTGTCTTCTAAGAGTAAGTTGATGATCATAATTTTTGGTAGATATGATAGTTATTTTTAAATTGCTCCAACTATTTGAATAATGCTTGAACCATAAAATTTTTAGTGTTAATGTTTAAGATAATTACCTTACTTTCAACATACTTTTTTAGAAAATCTTATAATATACCAAAATAATACTGGTAGGGGACATAATCATCATATAATTTTTTTTTCCTTAAAATAAAATAAAATGATAAAAATGTCTGATTTTATATTTTGCATAGCAATGGAATAATCATAAAATTCTAAATTATTTCAAATTAAAATTTGCTTAAAGTGATATATGAATAATTAAAACAAATATTCTGGTGACTTATTTTCTATGAGTAATCGGCTTCTTAAATAAAAACTTTAACTTTTTAATTTGTTATATTATATATTGAAGAGTTTAATGTCAGTGATTTTAATCACTGTCAGATATCAATTAATATTAGTCTAAAAAGAAACCCAAGTCCACTATGCTATATAGAGACTGTATTTAACTTTTTTCATTTAAGTTTACTAAATTAGTATTATGTCAAAAATTTGGTTCATTCACAACTGATATATACAGTAATACTTCTAATTTACTCGTAAACAATATAATAATATGAACTTTCATTTATTAAAATATTTTTTGAAAGATAATAAATTTAAACATCAAGATTAAAAATATTTACTATATACTTAATGCAAAAATGCCTTTACCATCTCCTTGTACAGATGTTATATGTTTTCCATCCAAAAATAAATCTATGTTAGATAAATAAGGTGATGGTCCACGATCAATAACAACCTCATTAAGAACTAGTAAATTTGGAGGAGGTTTTTCAGAATCTTCATTTTTTCTTACAATTATGCACCTGAGTCTACTGCGAAGTGTCAATGCAGCATGTCCTTCAAGAACATTAGTTACTTGTTGTTGGAAATTATCAAACTTAAATGGTGTTAAAAACCCAAGAGAACCCAAATGAAATGCCATAACAGGAGGTACAGATTGCTAAAAATAAAATAGCCGGAAAGATTAAAACTGGATTAAGTATGTTTATGCTTCAATACTGATAACATACTTGAAATAAGAGACTGGCATAAAGTAATGTACCATCTCCGCCTAAGCAGATAATAAAATCTATTTTATCCGTCAGATCATCTTTACCATCTTGAAATGATTTTAATTTTTCACGGACTTCTATAAATCCTGTGTTACTCGTGAGCATAGTATCTTCCATAACAGATTGTTCAACGAAAACTATCATGCTCTTTTCCTATGATTGGTAAAATTAATAAATACATAAAATAATTAAATCTGTATGAATACATTAATATTTTACTTGGATCAACCATCTAACAAGTTGTATAAATGGAGGCAGAACTGACATGTCTCTGACTTTTTTTATTACTAATACAGATAATGGATTTCTGTACCATGTTAATCTTTGGCTTGCTGGATCTTGAATAGTCCTAAAAATTAAAGCAATATATGAAATATGACTCGAAAAAAATCTAATTTGTCTATTTTTAATAGTGTTAAGCATAATTTTAAGAGATATAAGATTCTACTATAACTTAATTTTTTATTTTTAATAATAAATAAATTAAAAGGTAATAATTTCTAAATACAAATAAGTAGAATTGTTTTTAATTAGTTAAATACATCATTAAACATACATAACCATAGCTGAATTTTTCATTATACGGCCACATGGTCCAAATTGCTGAACAGGACTGGGAGCGTTGAGTGACCGCGTTCTCCTGAAAACATCATAGTTGTTATTATATTTATTAATTTAAGTGAAAATTATGAACAAATTAAATTTAAATATATAATTTAAGCTATATACAACACCATGATACAATTTATAACTGCAGATCATATTACTTAGAATTTGATAGAATTTTTCTTACAATTCAATTTCATCCATTTCATCTTTTTCATTCATAATTATCGACAAAAAATTCTTTTAATCATTGTTTTTTATAATCATATTTAATAGCAAAGAATAAAATAGTAAGAAGCAAATACCACACACGAACAGGAATGTACGACACTCAATTGTAGCTCATGTAGGGACACCAACCGCTGACGAAAGAATTGTCGAGTAATCTAACGCAACTTATGAGTTCCGTCGCTACGATAGCAGTTTTTAATTTTTACTTATGTGATAAGAACGATCCCACGAGCCACGAGGATTTAAAAAACACACATAACGTCGTCGTTTTGGTTGATAGAGTACGCACTAGTCACAGTCCAAAAATCCAATAAGCAATATATTATGGTAATGAATCAATGAATATAATTTATTTTCATTTACTTTAATAATTATTTTAAGGTTATTATTGCAAAGAATCATTATAATTTAGTAAATTTCAATGGACTCAGAAAATAATAAGCAACTTTTGAAGTTTAAATTTAATGTTTTGAAGCTTTAAATTAATAATATTTAATCTATAAAAATAGTATAATTAAATATTTGTTTAGTCATAGAAATGATAATGATGTATACATTAATTCAATGAAGTTTATACAATAAAATTTAATTTACATACACTTTAAAAAGGTGTACTTTAAAAATAATGAATAGTAAAAAAATTCTAGAGTATCGTTAGAAAATATATATTTTTTCTAATTGTACTAAATAATTTAACATTGAAAATATACGAAAACTACAGAACATATATGTTCTGTATTTAATTATATATAATTGACAAATGGATATTTTCTAAATAATTATTATTATGCTTTTTCAACGTGCATCCATTGCGTATAGATTAATGACAGTGACCTTTTGACTTTTATTTTTTAGAACATAATTTAATTCAAAAAATATCACAAGCTACCTTAATTATCAACAATATAAAAAAGCACACAAATACCTTGTGTAATCAGAAGGTAGTATTTTTTTATTACTGTGTTACTAAAACATAGGGCGCATTCCTAGTATGAATTTTCTATTATCAAACAAAATTTCAATATGAAAAATAAGTTTACCTAGTAAATTACGAAACAATTTGTTGATTCTATTAAGTAATGTCAAGTTTATTTTGTGGTAAATTAATGATCAAATTCAGCCATTAAATATTTAGTGCATTACTTTGCATTATTACATCATTCACCGAATTACCAAACTTACTCATGATTAATTTGAGCAATGACGATCTTAATGATTATACAAATATTTCTGTAATAATAAATTCAAGTTCAAGTGTAAAGATTGAGAAACTAATCTACGAACTTGGAAATAACAAATAATCAATATCCAAAAAAAACATGACATAAAACAGGCATCAGGTGGTTGGGTTGGTGATCTATGATAATCTTAGACTGATTAAATAATATTTTTTATTTGCAACAAATGTTATTATCACGATAAAATGTTTGAATTTATCTAAATTTGCAATTTTAAATAATCTTACATATGACCCTAGTGTTTTATTTTTAGTAATGCTTCTTTTAAATATTTATTTAATAATTAACTTAATAATTAATATTATTTTTACATTATATTTTTATTTTAGTTATATAATTATGTTTGTTTATGACTAATGAAATGTATTTATTTTTTATCAATGTCTTGAAACACTAGTTGTAGTACTATAAGACTAGTTGCTTTCAATAATTATTAATTAATTGCAACATTATGTTGAACAGTGCTGTAATATTAATATTAATTTTGAAAACTAGTCAATAAAATACAGGGTGACAGTATATTACTATAAATACTAAATAAATATTTCCTTCGTAGTCCTATTATTTATGAAAAAATTACAATTGTTTTAAATCTTAAGTTAGCTTTTGCGACTGTCTTTAGTCATGACCATATCAGTTCCCTCTTACTAAGATATTTATACTTGATATGTGTTATAATGATGGAATTTTATAATATTTGCGTCGCGTTCTAATGATCACGCAAAATACATATATATATATATATATATATATATATATATTATAACGTCATTATAATATGTGACACAAGGTTTCATAGAGTAGCCTGACGGCTGTTAGAAACGCACAATGTCAAGGTACATTAGGTATTCAGACATTTTTGTTGTGTGTTTATTAAACAGTGGGTGACTACTATCGGGCTTACCTTTACGAATAACAAAATACCTACCTACCTACTATGTTTGATAAACCAAATTGATACATATCATACAATTAAATTTATACGTATTTCAAATAATTATAGGTATTTGGAAATTACCATTTAAATTCATGTCAGCCGATGTTTTATTAAGCAAATTAAAATAACAGTGTTCCTCAGTAAATTAAATTTTATATTTAACATCGTTAAAAAACACTAAAACACCATTAGTCACTTAAGTTGTTTCAATCTATGCCTACTAAGAGAACGAATATTAAGGACTGTTATAGAACTGTTACAGGTAACAGGTGACGTAGATCATATTATCGCGTATACATCATTGGATCACAACGATAAAATTGTATTTCATAAAAATATTATGAACGGAATTAGCGAAAATTTCATACTAAACGATTGATCGTTGTTAATCCAAAGATAAACGGGTGTAATAAATGTAAATAGCGCAACTCGTGCAATTAAGCATACACCAGGTGAATTATACTACACATGTATTTTCATTTCCAAGTTCCCACGATATCGGTAAAGAACCCCAATATAGATATGATATGTATTGCTGTGTATTGGCTACTTCGCAACAATCACATGCATGCACGTTCCCGCAATTACATTGGTTACCCATAATACCGATCTAGTGAGTGTACATCCATGCAGAGTATTACACATCATAGGTGTCTGTACACTTATAATAAAAAGTACAACGGGTTTTGGCGACCTCGCGTGCTATGCGTGCGAATTCTTATGACGTAATTAGTTAGATGTATCACTTATACACACGCAAAACCGTTCTAGACTAAGAGACATTCGAAACGAGTCTTGGAAAGTTGTTATGCTAGTAATAAAAACAAAAATTGATAAACAGGCAATCAAACAAAAAAAAAAAAACAATTTAAATATTATTGTCTATCACTTGTAAGTGGTGAACATTTTTGCATTTCTTCCCTATAGGTTTCAATAATGGTAATAATAAAATATATTAAACAATGTACAGTTTTGCAACCTGTCGAGAACGGACTGTTCATTAAGCACAACATATATAAATGAGAGAACCAAAACTATATTTTTAAAGTAATCGGTACGTTCAAGAAAAACGCAAGAATTTTTTTACACCTGCTAACAATTGAATGGGATGTGTTCACAGACATAATAATAATATCTTTTTAACGTTTAGCTCACCAAACAAGTTAATTAACCGATATAGTCGTTAGAAATTTATTTACACAAATAATATTCTTCACCAATTTACAATGCTAATTAAAATGATTACATAAGATGACTAAATTTCATTATTAACCTAATTATATCTGGTATAAACCGATATCAAATAATTATTTTTTCTAGTAAAATTAAATTGAACAAAAACTATTAAAAATATTTTTTACTTCAGATTAAGTATCTAATAATTATTTAAGTGTAAATAATCAATACTAAATATAGCTAAAAGAATTTATGTTTTTTTTTATAAAATCATTACTACAATTGATTTTTTCGAAATAATTTTTTTCAGTGAACTTAGTTGACCGCATTGCCTAAAAAGTATAATTGATTTCAAATAAATCAATATTTTTGTTTCCAATTTTAATAATAGAGAGTTTGACCTGAAAACCTATATTTGGTTATTTCCTGTCCCAAAGGTAAAATTATAGTAGGTACATTAAACAAACAAGCATTGTTTTAGATCGCAGACTACTGGAACAAAAAGTCTTATTACATTCCCCAATTTAGGGTAAATTACAATCAATTTAATTAATCTGTGTTTCTGTAAATTTCACTCTAAATTCTTTTACGATTCAACATAAATCAAATAATGAAAATAATAAGATAAATAAAATATTAGTAAACAAATCATAAGAGAAATTATTTTACTATATGTTGGATAACCTGCAAATAAATAATCAGAAAAATGGAGGGAGATATAATTAAATAATTAGTACAAAACTGCGTTTTAATAATTCTCCTTCGACGAATAACGAGACACACACAAAACAAAAATACTATTAATCGAGTTTTCCCAATAATTTATTACAGTAATATACGTTAATAAATTCGCATTTAATAAAAAAAATTAGTTATTATTGATCAGATATAATACTATTGAATGTGTTAAAAACTATGTACATGTAATTTAAAAAAAGTAACTAGGTCTATATTATAAGGCTTCTAGACAATAAACCGATAATCCGCACTGGTATAATATGAATTATATAATGTTGTCTACAAAGTTTTTGTAAATATAATTCTAATTTTCATTATTATGTAAATATAAAAAACAAATTGTCTATGCATAATATTGTCACAAAATTATTTTGACCTTAACATCCGTTGATTGGAAATATTTATTTTTTTAATTTTAAATATTCAATGGATTTTAGTAACACATTTTGGTAATATAATAATTGAAGGTAAATGGCTTGTTAAAACCCAGATCAATAAAAAACCAGATGTCATTCTAATACCTTTTCGCTACAGAATGATAATATTTAATCTACCGGAAATTTCGACCTCGCCAATATTTCCCGTTATGTGATGACTATGGTGACGATTCTGTAATATTGTTTTTCATATGATAATCATTTCCGTAAATTTTGATTTTTGTTTTATTCACAAAGTTTATTGAAATATTCTTCGGGTTTAAATAGCATTAAAAAGTTCAATTAAACAAGTAAAGTGCAGACAATTTCTAATTGGCAAAATAACCATCGATTCCGAATTATTTTATTAAAAAAATTACTATTGATTTAAAAAAAAATATTAAAATATTAAAATAGTACAATATAAAAAGAAAGAAAAATAAAAGTAATTTATTAGGAATATAACTCTAAAAATATAAAAATTAATATGCACATTGAGATTGGGTCATAAATATTAATAATAGAAAATTTGTTTGTATTCGTGAAATATTATATTTACCTTATGTTAATTTATAGTTGTAAAATATTGTAGTATACTATAGGACAAACATATCTAATTTCTGTTTGATAAATTTGTGCAACACATAGATCATAAATAAATTATTATACATGAAAAATAACACCCCGAATTGTAAAATATAGCGCAGCGAGGTCGTGTGATTTTTTTTTTAATTTAAATTAAATGTAAAACAAATTTAAATGTACTTCCGGTATAACAGATTCGAAATAGTTGTTAAATTATTCGATACAACCATATTATAATAAAACATTATAGATAAATTTTACACGTGTACTTGTTGATTTTGTCGAATTTAAAAGAAGAATTTTACAATCGCGAAAATTAAAAACATACTTAGTGAATAATATTAAACAACTTTACAAGCTATAAATGATAAATTTACATTAAAGAGATAAACGGTTCGACAAAGGTACACTAAATAATAATACATATTTTACTTATAATTTAAGGAATGAATTTTAAAAACAGAATGTGACTATGGTCAAATTTTAACATTTTAAACGTTATTAGCACTCATTAAGTTATCGAAAAAAGGGTTTAGTGATCTATAAAGATAAGAGACTATTAAACATAAGGGCTAATGAAGTCTTTGATATTATTTTAAGAACAATAATAATAACAAATACATATAACCTCAAATGATTAATACAAGCTCCGCTGAAAGTCATCCGTTTAAAAAGCAGAACTCGGATTCATTATTGTTACTACTACTTTTAGTGACCTCGACCGTTCCGCGGCATCACATATTAATATAGAAAGTACTTATTGCAATCAACGCTATAAACTAAGAAACTGATACCAACTTATAAGCCATCTAGATATAATACTACATTTTAATTATTATATTTAAATTATTAATATGATAATTAAATAAATTAAAGTAAGAAAAAAAGGTTGATAAGATTGATAAGGAGGTTTTTCTTACCTAATGTTTTTATAAATATCTGTTGATATGAAATAATAACATAAATTTAATAGCCATTGTTGCCGAGGCGTAATTTAATAAAAAATATAAATAAATTAATACAAAATATAAACTTTTATATGATTACGATTTAAATTCTTTAAATAAAGGAACTGTAATTTCTATAGATCTAAAATTTCTCCAAAATGATCTATTCCATAACGCAATCACTTTATAGCTCAACTTTCCGATAACTCAAATAAGTGTTTCTTAAATTGAAAAAATACTGGCACGATTAAGTTTATAACTAATTCTAATTTATTTATTAAGTGTTCTCTAAACACGCCATTGCCTATATTAGGCATCGTTAATTTTCATTTTTCATTTTGACGGATGGCTGGAAAGCTAATTTAATTAGTTAAATTAAAGCTAGTTAAATTCGTCTGTAATGATAATGTCTACACCGAACTGTTGAATATTTGTCAATGTAATATTTTTAAATGTAGTTCAAAGCTATAGTGATTTGAATTGTAAATTATTAAATAGTTGGTTACAGTTTGGTATCCATAATTAATTGTAATTAACATTCACCTTCAGAATTTATTCAAAAACTCATAAGCGCAATTCGAATAAAATGTTTTGGAGGGTCTAATTTAATTTCTTCCCTTTAAAAATATCTATATATAAATTAACATGTAATTTTCATCGTTTTTGGAAGGCTGCTTCAGAATTAAACGAGTTAAGCCCCCATAGATGCTCCTAGATTGCAAAATAGAAAATCTTAACATCATACTATATTAGTTATATTTGTGTACTGAATGATGTGTCAAATACAAATCGATTATAAGATAGATATTAATTAATAACTATAAAGCATGTATACCAAGGAAATCATAAAATATAGTTTCGGGTGTTATCAAAAAATATTCATATGACAAAATAAAAATGACAAACTAGCAAAGATTTTAAATCATAATATTTTGCTTAAAAACAAAAATTCAATAATTGTATTTTAATTATTGTATTAAACTCTTTGCACTCAACTACCGTCTTAAGATTGACACTTTTTTCGCCGTACCAATTATAATTTCACGATAAAAGAGAAGATAAAAATTATGATGGTTTTACAATGGGACATTAATTTGAGTACTACTGAACTTACGGCCACGAACCGGATCGACGACGAGGCTTACGGGGCGGTCGAACAAATAAAGTTTGCTCTGAGGTTGGACTGCTGTCGCAGCTACAAGATGTTGTATCATCTTCTCCGCAGTCTTCTTGATGAATCGTTGAAGAGGTCCTACAGATAGTCCTGTAGCGTCCGGCCGACAATGGACCAAACGTATCGGTGTGGTGCACTCGCATTTTGCGCGTGCGTCGTGTTTGTCGGTCTACACTTTGATAGCAAACTGATAAATGGTTTTTAATGTAACGCGTGCACTTACTACAGCGGCAACCAAACGGACTACTGCAAAATTAATCGCTCCACCCAGACGCGCTCACGTCAATCGACCGGCCGGCGAAATGCTACTGACTACTGAGTGGCGAATAATATCGGCTGGCTTACCGCAGTTGGTTTATGCAACTGTTATAGTTATTATCGTCTTTACGGGAGATCTTTCGATAAGTACGCCGCGACTATGCGATTAAGACAGTGGCGGGTAATGTAGTGGCGCGCGCTGTCTATTAGAATTTGCACAACTCGATACCACCGTAATGGTATGGAAACATGACTCACGAGTATTCTTTCACCTCTTTAAGTTCTCCCCGCCACCATATTAGCTGTATGAAACCTATAATCGCCTCCCTCCGATCACCGAAAGTCTGTTGCTGCCCTAGCAACAATGCCATGGCAATGAAAATCTGAAATTTTTTAACTGAAAAAACGTTTTCTTATAAAATATTTATGCGCTCGTTTTTCAGTTGAGTATCGACCACTGTTTTGCTAATCACTTGTTTTTTATTTTCATCAATGGTAGCTTCTGTGCGACGTTATTCGTTGCCGCCGACGATAGATCAAGTTTTTCGTTACGTAATGAAAACACAAAAATGTAAACAAAATATTTTTTGTGAACAACTATGCGTCTTACTTGATATTAACAATTAAATTAGCCTGTACAATTTTCAACAATACGTTTTGTCGTCTAAATATTTGTCATGCACTAATTAACGAAAACTATTATTTTATATAATATCGTGATAATAGCACACCGACCTTCCACTCACAGATCTCAAATTACCACTGTGCGTTCGGTGTATCATTACTGGTCGTCGAAAACAAACCGAGTTGGATCGATTGTCGCGAACGGATCCTCCACACGCGTTTTTCGTTATTGACGGACATCGGTCGCCGCCCAAGACGCTAAGTCGTATGCTCTGTGATTGGACGTATGCAACCGGCTTCGTCGGGACAGCATGCCCTTGTTAATGTACAAAACACAAGAAATACAACTAACATTTGTACGTAGCGCTCCCTCCTCTTTAAGTTCTACTCTAAGGGATGAACTATGTTTTCAGTCTCTATTTTTGTGATGTTACAGCGCGACATTTTTACACAAACGAGATGATTTCAAAATAAAATAAACACATTTTGATAATTTAGTACTTTTTGCTTGTTATAAACTCATATTTTCACATGTTAAAAAAACATTATTAGCAGTTGCCGAAATATTGTGCCAACGAGGTACTCAAAGATCTAGTTTACACAACTGAACTCATCTATNTCAGTCTCTATTTTTGTGATGTTACAGCGCGACATTTTTACACAAACGAGATGATTTCAAAATAAAATAAACACATTTTGATAATTTAGTACTTTTTGCTTGTTATAAACTCATATTTTAACATGTTAAAAAAACATTATTAGGAGTTGCCGAAATATTGTGCCAACGAGGTACTCAAAGATCTAGTTACACAACTGAACTCATTNCAAAGATCTAGTTTACACAACTGAACTCATCTATTTTTTATTTTATGTTAGATATCAGTATTTTTTGGTATAATTAGATTTAAGGGGACCACAACGTCAAAATCAATTGGTCTTTTTTAATTGTGTATTTAGAGTAATTAGTTGATAAAAAATTTTAACTAAAAATAATTCCATTAATATGATTGTGTTTGTGGGAGTAATTATTTATGGAGAAACAAGTAAAGAATATGACTATAATACCGAAAAGCAAGGGCATGCTAAAATATTTTTCATGAAGGAGTTATACTCAAAATATTTTTTGTTATTTTCTTCAATTGCATTAACTTTTATTCTTTTTTCTTGATATGCCTTTACTATCATCTATTAAAATTATTCGAGGGCGAATTAAAAAAAAAAAAAATGAATACATGTATAATAAAAATGATAATAATATAAAATTGTTTTTTTTTTAAATTAAAATTTTACATTGTTAAATATATTTGGTTTTATGTTATGTATATGACACTATATGTATTAACAACAAACGGTGTTATGAATCATGTAAGAATTTTAAGACTTATTAAGAAATTCTAAATTAATTTGAAGTGTTATATTATAGAAAAAATTCCAGGTTTTTTTTTGTGCAATATGTTTTAAGAACATTGAAAGAAAATTAAAGGTTCTTATATAAACTCATAATTTGACATGTGTTTAATACTTCTAATATTATGGAAAAATTAAAATTGTGAAAAATGTTAGGTTACGAAGTGTTATTAAATCAATGTTAATTTTATAAATGTTTCAAATAATCATGGATTTTTCACATCATAAAAAATGTATAAAATTATTTTAGTGAATGTGGCATCCAAAAATACAATTTATATTTTAACACGGGCAATTTCGTGAATTTCAATTTTTTTGTAGTATTTTGTATAAACAATAATGTAACACGGCTTAATTTTAAAAATTACATAAATTATAATTGTATTTTATACAAAATGTATAGTTTCCAAATTATTAATTAAAAATGTTTAGAAATTAATTAATATTATTAATTAAAATTAAATTTAAATGGTGGTAAAAAAACAACATTGTAATATGGTTTCTAATGCGCAGCGTAGCGGCAAAATATAATTTGTAAACGGCAAACGCGATCAACAGCATACAAGTTTTTTAATAGTCATTATCGTCATCGTAAGATAGCGTTGGCGCTCAGTATGTTTTTGCGATTATTCTCAAGATTGAAACAACGATGTGTTGTAAGTTTACAGATTATAATATTTCGTAAATTACTGGAAAAATTATACTTTTTAAAACAAGATGAGTATTGAGAAAAAATTCGTCTTCAAATAAAATGATCTCACGTTGTCAGATTACTGCATCGTTCGTTCCCCCTCATAATCAATATCAGAACAAATTTAGAACAAATAAATGTGGAATTCAGTGTCAAATTTGCATCAGTAGTGGTTATAACTTAACCATTACTTTTCATATGATGAGGCAACGTTTATGATCCAAGTTGATTCTAAAAGCGGTTGCGCCATTGAGAACTTCTCCAGAGGGTCTCAATGGATATCTGATGCCTCTACTGATGCCAAAGCGATGACTATTGTCGTCGCTTACAACTTTAATAATTTATACTAATTTCAAATTAATTTCCATGTTGTGTGATACGAATTCTGTCTGGGAGTGATTATGTTATTAAAAAATTATTTTCAATTTACACTATGGTCGTATGGTTGATGGTTTTGTAGTAAATTCTTTTCATAAGAGAAAATCAATAATAGTCAATAATCAAGATAATTTTTTTTTGCTCTACTCCTTAAATAACCAAAAGAAAATATTTTAATAAACTTTATATTTTCAAAATCATTTCATAATATTAAATCGAACTTGTAAGGTGTTTATATTTTAAAAAATCAAAACAATTTTTTTTTTTTTGATTATATCGTTAAATCGATTTATTTTATATATTATACATTGAATAGATGATATTTTATAATTAATTAAGAATTATTAATTGTTTAAATTTATTATTATTGGTTATAAATATTTGGAACGTTCAAAACAATATCTTTAAATATAAAAGTTTTATGCCACCCACACCGGGAGCACCGCTGGTGTAATGGTATCATGCAAGATTCCCATTCTTGCGATCCGGGTTCGATTCCCGGGCGGTGCATATTTTTTTACTATAATTACTTTATAACTTTTAAAGTCGTGTACATACAAGAGATCTCGTACATAGGATGTATGATACGTCCGGAAACATGTAATTGTAAATAATTTATTAAGTATTTTGTTAATTATGAGATTGAGTGTTAAACATAAAAAGTACTTTATGGTAATAATGTTATTTTACTTGAAAAAGTTTTGTTCATTTATGGTAGATATAATGTGCGTAGATATGCTTCGGAAATTTTAAATATATTAAATAACTTTTTTATCTAATTTTAATGAAGATTGACTACATTATTTACTTATTTATACCTAAATGAATTTTACTATAATCATTATTTACCTATTGGTTACGAGTGTCTTTATCTTAATCCCATTCCTCCTCCACCGGGTTTCGGCAAACCTGACCATCGTTATAACACTTGTACGCATTACTTTAATAAAAAAAACACGTTATAACACAGCTACTTCGGTACGGCGCTTTATCAGAAATGAATGATAAAATGTTTATACTTAATGTAATTTAAACATTGTGATAGAGTTTAAGCCGAGTGTTTTTACATTTGAATATTTATATCACTATTTATTACTTGAACTATAGCGAATAAATAAAAAACCATATTATAAATAATGTAATGATGAAATAGATAGGTAATTATTTCTAAAAATTACAGATGATATTAAAATCAATAACCTCTAAGTAGTCATATCTATTACAACGTGAATGTAATTATTTAAATTTAGTTACCATAATCTTAAATATATTTATTAATTTAAGAGATTTTTGATATTTTATGCAATATTAAAATAAGATAATAATTATTTTTATCATATTATTTAACGCAATGTAAACAATAATACAGTACTGTGTTCTGTATTAATATACACACAAGTGCTACAGTTTATATTGAGTATGATTTTAGAATATTACTATGAAATAAAATTAAATCGTCATATTTGATTTATTTACTTATTATTATTATTATTATTTTTGTTTAAAAAACAGTCTGGTGATTGTATAAAATGATCTGGGGTGGCATCTAATAAATTACTACTATATAACTTGAGTTAAATGTTTGTTTTAAATTCTTCAATTCTTTAAATTTTTTTTATAAAAATTAGGAAAATGAATACAAGGAAGGCAATTATTTACTATTCTAAATCATTCCACTATTAAAGTTTTTGAAGTGCATTGTCACAACTAGAAAAAATATTTTTAGTTATAATTTTATAAAATTACTATTACAAAAAATTTGATTAAAAAAAAAAAATAGTTGAGAGCTGTAGTATCCTAAAGTACACCTGGATTCAAAACTGAATATTTAATAAATATTTCATAACTTAAACCATAAAATGTAAACAAAAAACCATATACTATATGATATACTTTTAAAAAAAAAATCGATGTAACACTTGAGATCTATTCAAACTATAAAATTAAACGTAAATTTTACCTAATTATTTAAAATATATATATTTGGTATTAAAAATTATGTAATAATAGTTTAGCGTGTGCTCTTTAGAATTATTATGCAGCACTACATTGTCCCTAGGCAATTAGTTCAGAAGTGTAAAACTTC